ATCCATAAAAAGATTGAACCCAATTATTATCATTTTTTATTTATAAGCTCTAAATCGATTAAACATCAAAATTGTTGATTTTCAAAAATTAACTCAATCATAACTCACAAACTTAAAGCGATGGGGAAATATTTTTTAAACATAAAACCTTAGTAATGGACCATAAAGACTAGATCCATAAAAAGATTGAACCTAATTATTACCATTTTTTATTTATAAGCTCTAAATCGATTAAACATCAAAATTGTTGAAAATTAACTCAATCATAACTCATAAACTAAAAGCGATGGGGAAATATTTTTTAAACATAAAACCTTAATAATGGACCATAAACGCTAGATCCATAAAAAGACTGAACCTAATTATTACCATTTTTTATTTATAAGCTCTAAATCGATTAAACATCAAAATTGTTGATTTTCGAAAATTAACTCAATCATAACTCATAAAATAAAAGCGATGAGCAAATAAACAAGCTGTATAGCGTATCTAATATCTTTGAATACTATCATTTACCTACTGGCTTTGACCATTATCTCACATAATTTCAAGGAAAAATTTGAAAAAATGTCTGTTTTTACATAGGTTTTAAAAAGATCCTGCAATGGACACATTTTGGAAAAACAATCGAATATCTCAGGAACTATGAACGCTATGAGTTAGTAACATATACGGTTGTATAAATAAATTTAATTCTATTCATAATACGATAAAATATACAGGTGTTCCATTTAAAAAAATCTACATGCTCTCCGTTACGCCTAAAAGGAACATCCTGTATAGGTGAAAATAATTTTACGTAATAGAAAGTGGTGAGTTAAACAACTTTTGCAGAAAATATTTTTTTCTTTCTCAAACGGTTTAGCAACTATCGTCCGCCGGGATACTAATAACGCACCCTGTATACTATTGGCTCTAGCGCCTCACCCGAAAGCGGCCTCGGCGATATTAGATAGCATCGTTCATTTCATGTCTTGACAAATAAATCAAACGTACATTACTTAAATAAGTGGACCTTTCTCTCCACTTCGCCGAGGTTGTTTGCGGGCGAGGCGCTAAAACCAATAGTATAAACCAGTTTTATGTTGCTATAGTTACATAACCACTGCCTCGCCCGCAAGCGACCTCGGCAGAGTGAGGATAAATTATTTCTCATTCAATTGGTGTACAGTGTGTTAATTAATTATCGTACCCGACGTCATCATTGCAAGTATGCAACCAATATCACAGTAGTGGTGTTGCAATACGCGATTTGCGTATTCAAATATATTCAGTGTGATATTGGTTGCATACTTGCAATGATGACGTCGTTTACGATAATTAATTAACACACTGTACATTTGATTCATTTTCCAACACATTAAAAGAACGACACTATCTAATATCGCCGAGGTCGCTTGCGGGCGAGGCGCTAGAACTAATAATATACACCAGCTTTATGTTGATATAGTTACATAACCACTGCCTCGCCCGCAAGCGACCTCGGCAGAGTGAGGATAAACGATTTCTCATTCAATGACTGTACACTTGGTTCACTTTCCAAGACATTAAAAGCACGATACCGTCTAATATTGCCGAGGTCGCTTGCGGGCGAGGCGCTAGAGCTAATAATATTCACTAACTTAATGTTGGATTTGTTACACAACCACTGCCTCGGCCGCAAGCGACCTCGGCAAAAGTGAGAATCAACAATTTCTCATTTAATTACTGTAGACTTGGTCCAAGACATCAAATGACGTCTAAAAACGCATGGCTAAACCCGAAACTTTATAGTTCTAGGTCTAGTGTTAGTTCTAGACTAGAAACTAGACCTAGAAAGTGTCGGGTTTAACATAACCTCAAAAAGTGACGTCACGTCGAAACTTTAAAATGATTTTTCGGTAAGTTTTACACTTTTTTTTTTATTTGTAACGACTTACTCGAGTCGTTACTTTATCGAGTCCCGTCGATTATAAAAAAATGTCGATTTTTAAGTGACATTATAATTCACGAAAATTTGNAGCATCGTTCATTTCATGTCTTGACAAATAAATCAAACGTACATTACTTAAATAAGTGGACCTTTCTCTCCACTTCGCCGAGGTTGTTTGCGGGCGAGGCGCTAAAACCAATAGTATAAACCAGTTTTATGTTGCTATAGTTACATAACCACTGCCTCGTCCGCAAGCGACCTCGGCAGAGTGAGGATAAATTATTTCTTATTCAATTGGTGTACAGTATGTTAATTAATTATCGTACCCGACGTCATCATTGCAAGTATGCAACCAATATCACAGTAGTGGTGTGCAATACGCGATTTGCGTATTCAAATATATTCAGTGTGATATTGGTTGCATACTTGCAATGATGACGTCGTTTACGATAATTAATTAACACACTGTACACTTGGTTCATTTTCCAACACACTAAAAGAACGATTCTATCTAATATTGCCGAGGTCGCTTGCGGGCGAGGCGCTAGAACTAATAATATACACCAGCTTTATGTTGATATAGTTACATAACCACTGCCTCGCCCGCAAGCGACCTCGGCAAAGTGAGGATAAACGATTTCTCATTCAATGACTGTACACTTGGTTCACTTTCCAAGACATTAAAAGCACGATACCGTCTAATATCGACGAGGTCGCTTGCGGGCGAGGCGCTAGAGCTAATAGTATTCACTAACTTAATGTTAGTTTTGTTACACAACCACTGCCTCGGCCGCAAGCGACCTCGGCAAAGTGAGAATCAACAATTTCTCATTTAATTACTGTAGACTTGGTCCAAGACATCAAATGACGTCTAAAAACGCATGACTAAACCCGAAATTTTATAGTTCTAGGTCTAGTGTTAGTTCTAGACTAGAAACTAGACCTAGAAAGTATCGGGTTTAACATAACCTCAAAAAGTGACGTCACGTCGAAACTTTAAAATGATTTTTCGGTAAGTTTTACACTTTTTTTTAATTTGTAACGACTTACTCGAGTCGTTACTTTATCGAGTCCCGTCGATTATAAAAAAATGTCGATTTTTAAGTGACATTATAATTCACGAAAATTTGAGGTTATGTGAAACGTCATTTTTTGACGTTTCTTAATTTATAACAAATTTTTTTTTATAAACTAATTTAATCAATGAAAATCACTACTTAACGATTAAAACTCACCACTATGGGTAAACATGTTTCTAATTTAACCTTTAAACCTTCAGTTTTGAAAATATCCGAGTGGTTATCAGTTAATTTCCCGCAAATTCGACAAAGTTTCGTTTCCATCGTTTCGGCATTATAGGGGATCGATTGATTTCTTACACTTTCACTTCCTTGGGGGCGTAGAAAGAGTGAAAGAAAAAAAAATAACCTCTCTCGCGACACCTGCACAAACTAACGCACTAATGCACTTATTTCGCCCGATTTATAAGATAAACTCGACGCATTTTAACGAGATCGACTCAGTCGACGTCGAAATCGCCCCGTTTCGTTTGATAGTTCGCTCGTTTAATTCGAAATCGATTCGGATTTTTGCGCGAATGCAAAATATTGCACAAACAACGCAAACAATGCCGCCATTTTTGGTTGGTTGCGATTCTTTCTAAAAAGAGCAAATTAATACCAACCTAAAACGGTTTGGTTACAATTTACACCTAAAAATTAAAACGATTCATTTCTATTTACGATTTAAAACAAACTTAATGAATTAATAATAAATTTAATTTAAATTAATTTCATTTATTATTATTAAATTAACAATATTAGGGAAATTTCGTTGCGTAATGTTGTCATCACCAAACGTCAAATTATTTATCCTCTCAATTTGACGTTTACTAATTTTTTTTATACAATATTTATTTGCCGGTTCTAAATAATTCGATAAGTCGATTCTAGTCATGGCTTTAAACGGATTCTTCGAGTTTTTTCAAAAAGGCAAGGTAAATAACGTTGTAATTTCCCTAAATCATGAGTGATTATAAAGTGAGGTTAGGTTGGGGATTAAATCCGCTTTATTTTAGACTTTTAGGCCAAAGAAGCGATTCGCTCACGGTACGATTCGTTATAGTTTACATAAACAAGCTTGTGCCAGTTTAAATTCGGGTATAAATTTACGTACGGCTGTAAAATTACCACCTGGGGAAGATTTAAACGATTGGATCGCAGTTCATGTTGTTGATTTTTTTAATCGAATCAATTTAATTTATGGCACAATTTCCGAGTATTGTACAGAAGAGACTTGTCCCACGATGACCGGTGGGGCTCGATTTGAGTATCTTTGGGCTGATGGTGATAAGTGAGCTAATTTATTATATGGGGGTTAAAAAAAATGTTTTTTGACGATTTTTTAGATTTAAAAAGCCGACTCCTTTACCTGCAAAAGATTATGTTTGCCATTTAATGGATTGGATTGAGGCCCAAATCAATAATCAAGCTTTATTTCCGTGCACCTCTGATATGCCTTTCCCTAAAAGCTTTCAATCACTTTGTAGTAAGATTTTAGCGAGGTTACATCGCGTTTTCGTCCACGTTTATATCCATCATTTTCAAAACGTCGTTTCGATCGCTGCAGAGGCTCACGTAAACACGTGTTATAAACATTTTTATTATTTTGTGACTGAGTTTGAGTTGGTTAGTCGGAAAGAATTGGAACCTTTGGTTGAAATGGCTGCAAAAATATGCAAAGATCTTCCAACTTAATCATTTTAATTGTTATTAAAAGATATTCAACTTTTATAATCAGTACAAAATAAGAAAAGTATCAACTCCATAATCAGATAATTATCAAAACGATATTGAAATTGTTGCAATTATCACGAATAACACCAAATTTAAACGTTTTTAATTATTGTTAGGTTTTAATTGTGTTTTTAGTTTGATTTTTTTTGGTCTCATTCTCGAATAATTAATAGAATTTAAAATAATAATAATCGCCAGTTTTTAATTTAGTTATTTGTTGCCGATTTATTGTTAATTGTGTTGTAATAATTAAATAAAAAGGATCTAAAGATTAATTAATTGAAATATTAAAAATAATTAATTTTTTTGGGTTGGTTATTCTGATTGTCAACGAAGAAGTGTCAAAAAAAAGTAAGCTTAACCTCACTTTTTGAAATAATATTTTATTTGTAGGTTTGAATCGAGATTTAACACGCAATTCGAATTTGGAGGACGTTTATTACAAGTAAGTTTATTATTATTCTTTAAACTATAACATTTAGCAACATTTCTTTAATTCCAACTTATTTAATTGTTATTAAAAAAGATATTCAACTTTTATAATCAGTACAAAATAAGAAAAGTATCAACTCCATAATCAGATAATTATCAAAACGATATTGAAATTGTTGCAATTATCACGAATAACACCAAATTTAAACATTTTTAATTATTGTTAGGTTTTAATTGTGTTTTTAGTTTGATTTTTTTTGGTCTCATTCTCGAATAATTAATAGAATTTAAAATAATAATAATCGCCAGTTTTTAATTTAGTTATTTGTTGCCGATTTATTGTTAATTGTGTTGTAATAATTAAATAAAAAGGATCTAAAGATTAATTAATTTAAATGTTAAAAATAATTAATTTTTTTGGGTTGGTTATTCTGATTGTCAAGGAAGAAGTGTCAAAAAAAAGTAAGCTTAACCTCACTTTTTGAAATAATATTTTATTTGTAGATTTGAATCGAGATTTAACACGCAATTCGAATTTGGAGGACGTTTATTACAAGTAAGTTTATTATTATTCTTTAAACTATAACATTTAGCAACATTTCTTTAATTCCAACTTATTTAATTATTATTAAAAAAGATATTCAACTTTTATAATCAGTACAAAATAAGAAAAGTATCAACTCCATAATCAGATAATTATCAAAACGATATTAAAATTGTTGCAATTATCATGAATAACACCAAATTTAAACATTTTTAATTATTGTTAGGTTTTAATTGTGTTTTTAGTTTGATTTTTTTGGTCTCATTCTCGATTAATTAATAGAATTTGAAATAATAATAATCGCCAGTTATTAATTTAGTTATTTGTTGCCGATTTATTGTTAATTGTGTTGTAATAATTAAATAAAAATGATCTAAAGATTAATTAATTTAAATGTTAAAAATAATTAATTTTTTTGGGTTGGTTATTCTGATTGTCAACGAAGAAGTGTCAAAAAAAAGTAAGCTTAACCTCACTTTTTGAAATAATATTTTATTTGTAGGTTTGAATCGAGATTTAACACGCAATTCGAATTTGGAGGACGTTTATTACAAGT